CTGCTATGGGTCACAAGTGACTCAATAGCACACAAAAACAACATTTTTTAATATTGGTTTGCATAGAAAAATTCATTTATTGTTTTTGTTCGTATACATTGTGTTTCGTGCACTCTTCCATTTACACTGTGTTTCATATGATCATTCTCATACACTGTGTTTAATAAAATTAATCACCCTCAATCCAAAAAAAATAAAACTTAAATAGGTCAAATAACAGGAATAAAAATTTCATCTTTATCCATAGGAATCAAAATTTCCTCTTGAACCTATCCTCCCTTAATTTAAAAGCCAACTCAGGAACAGGCTTGAGGCCTTGAACACTAATGAATGAAGATCAGATGGGTTGTGGGAGGATATAAAGAATATCATCCATGAAGAATTCAAAAGGTCATTACAAAGTTAGAGGAAGAAGACAAGACCAAATGGATATCAGAAGTGACTCTGAATTTTTGCACTAGCACGCCGAAGATTTCAAAGGGCAGCATAGTAAGACAAAGCAAGGCATTCAAGGAACTGGAGTCAGAAAATCAAAAGGGCTGTACTTGCTCAGCATTTCTTAAGCTGAAGGAACTAAAGAACAAATTCAAGCTGCAAGTTGCAATAATACTTCAGGATGCTATGGGCAGAATATGGAATAATTCAGGAAGCATAAAAGGAGATGAAGAGTATACAGAATCACTGCACCAAAAATAATTGGCTGAACAGAAGAAGTTCATGAAACAACACATGATTAGGAGGCAATAGTGATGAAGGAGGATGTGCAAGCTGCTCTGAAGGATTTGGAAAAAAAAAATAAGGCCCCAGGAATTGATGTAATACCAAGTAACATATTTCATCAAACAGATGTTGCCCTGTACATAGTCATCTGGTTTTGTCGCGAAATCTGGAGGACATCTATCTGGCCAACTGACCAGAAGAGATCCATATTTATTCCCATTCCAAAAAAATGGTGACCTCACCAAGTATGGAAATTATCATACAATATCACGCATATCACATGCAAACAAAATCCTACTGAAGAATATCCAAAAACGACTGGAACAGTATATCGATAGAGAACTACAAGAAATATAAGCTGGGTTTAGAAGAGGTCATGGCACTAGAGACATTATTGCCAATGTCAGATGTATTTTGGCATAAAGCAAGAATACCAGAGGAATGTCTATTTGTTTCATTGACTATGCAAAGGCATTTGACTGTGTGGATCACAACAAATCGTGGCTAACCTTGAGGAGATTGGGTATCCCAGAACACTTGATTGTGCTCATGCAAAACCTATACTTGAACCAGGAAGCAGTCCTCAGAACAGAGCAAGGGAACAATGCATGGTTCAAAATCAGAAAAGGAGTGTGTCAGGGATGTTCTAATGGTGAAAAAGTTGTTCTGAGAGCTTAATGGTGAAGATCTATTCTGCACTAGGTATATGAATTTTACTAAAAATTGATTGTAAGCCAATAGGTTGACTGAACCAAATGCCTAATGTTAATTTGCCTGCTTTAAGATCTTATCAGTATTCATGTCCTTTTGACTGAGAGGAAAGTAGATAGTTCTAGAGAAAGTTAAGCCCTTATTGCTTATTGCAGACTGTAATAATTGGTGACAGAGTCAATATAACAAACAATCCTTGCTAAAGATCAAGTTAAGCAAATAGCTGAAAATTGTTGGCATTAGCACTTTATCCTCCCAAATTAGCTCACTGCCTGCTTTCTAAATTATCTAGTAGTGTTATAACAGAAATATACAAGCAGATTATTTTAAGAACTAGAAATTGATTCATTATATAATTTAGGAGTCTAGAAGCCCAATTTAAAGTAACAACGTCTTGGAGAAGGCTTTATCCTTCTGTTGGTGTTAAAGGAAAAATCCTTGTGGGCTCAAAGTTCCTTGGAATCTATATGTGTCCTGCCATTGGTTTTCCCTTGGGTCTAGGAGGTTCTAAGTGCTGGGTCCAAAGGATGGCTCTGCTCCTGATTCTTCTTACTTGGTAATAGTCCCTTTCCCCCTGCTCTTTATCTCTTATATTTTGTAAGGTCACACCCAAGGGAAACTCTTCCTTCATGAGATTAGGACTGATTTGACTAAAGGCATTGTATCCCATTCTAATCCCCTTACAAATGATTGACTGTTTACATCAGGTCACATCATGTAGGAACAGATGTTTAACAAGAACTTCTGTTAATATCAGAAACATGCTATCTTGGGAAAAAGAAGAGATTTGGGTCACACAGAGTTTTAGATTTCCTCATTAACTGGCTAAATTGTTTCCTATGGAACCAACCTTGCTAAGCTTTAGAAGTTTTAGGGATATTTCTGATAATGATCAAGGCCTTGTCCTAAATTAACTTGATGTTCTTTTTTTTTTAGGATAATCGTATCCACACATCCAAGTACAACATTCTCACCTTCTTGCCAATTAATTTATTTGAACAGTTCCAAAGAGTGGCAAATGCCTACTTCCTTTTCCTTCTGATTTTGCAGGTAATTTCTTAATTATATTGTCTTTCTTCATTTATTTTCTACAAGAATAATATAATTTGAAAAAGTAAGTTAATTTACTTGAATAAATGCTTATAATTAGGAGAAAGATCCTACATCAGATTTTAAAATTTTTCTCCTGACATATGTGGGAAGGCTTGGAATGGGTAAAAGCTAGTACATCCATCATTTTAAACACTGAGATAATTTTAAAACATAGCTTTGCACTCTATTTGAACTAAACTAGATCATAACAATGATAGCTCATAGCCTCCTTCTTTACTTTATCTCTTCTTCTTACATTGTCTGAGATAGCCAGAATGGAAGCAGAGTTCAGCTGAGGGGATCATGGAATTTAATTTTGGAAAATCTTATTTTATTCCAAGAGTAATGACCTGTTCTCTTACACACACACACACACACACACACACACACACCCATATACATATCTACACTTCTACATCCATCTGTCTGTCTGCCTATTTATCTATCTGCAAGAATTTGTGCTGCAATCCCAAAGGAAGGAAGTTTGAGGCCACTAACTATTCTGTGGAGAAGGATGGGCAATCTCTTCCTGTGTGATTACTGCCTCTGAAAAATCCACCAGAGGGTCAGCTATAGGTTGATTCTGACTCAGTGGTACACAATGTGCTCAATGGTACACAACAACTATACACACACACACACACACACACACACACACACACAGAGTTATATATGTATACACACATTATATATATTGTACATACATTATACGTACACACATTACATATATACACACACTAACAAATATACACACACTAACATATATACACACGTATGATATATATACACACATATTATATATACACACATTATATACACACACATATATACACACATTATATATATATACACACTATATATACACACACTATATATATATACACACTCTCTCTCTCTATATATATACACACACACACTATATATATACACACTATATATACACACACACACTATATATACACACACACACACACTATATATATATAAAAATATATAATGTGTACGTGTGTGTGTATATATATATTTGATTGCCTTCGAGTTGAGCATGACTCATAGTGACCCTATGAACAAAAGGTCTGAAGCCTTTCTATAACTATCAGCATTTGTCAAAGTTCCTAGTGTTTCCAGAGACATGTTGTTTAGGAAGTGGATGGCACTCCTGCTTCCAAACCTGTCTTAAACTGGGAGCTCCACTGAACACGGTACACCATGGGTAACTGTTATGACATTTGACACCCCAATGGCACAAGGTTCAGCATCACAGCATATTAACAAAAGAGTGAATATCTCTCTGTCTCTTTATCTATCTATATCTATCTATATCATTAGTTAGCTGCTGTCAAGTACACCTCATACTGATCCTGTGAACAGCTGACTTGCCCCCTACCCCTGTGCCATCCTCATCATCTTTGACACACTATAGCTCATTGCTGAAGTCACCATGTGAATCCATCTTTTTGGGGGTCTTCCTCTCTTTTGCTGACCCTACATCTTTCCAAGTATGATTTCCCTACATGTCCGGAGTATGAAAGACAAAGTTTCACCATGTATATGGGTTTTCAGAGATAGCAAATCACATAGGATGAGATTGCCCATCTGTCTCCCATGGACCAGCTGGTGGATTCAAACCACCAGCTTTTGGGTTGGCAGAGCCACTCTTTACCATTAAGTTACTATAGACACACACACAAGTATAAGAAATGATGTGTGTACTATGTTATTAGGGAGCTCTGGTGGTCTACTGATAAGATGCTTCCCTGTAATCCCGAAGGCTTGTGGTTCGAATCCACCAGCTGCTTGCAGGGAAAAGATGGCCAGTCTCCTCCTGTGTGATTAAATGTTTCTGAAAACCCACCAGATGGTCAGATATGGGTGTGTTCCTTCTCAGTGATACACATCAACAACAAAAACAATATACTGTGCTATTATACTGTTGTTGTGCACCATTAAGTCAGAACTGAATAGCTAATCCTCTAGTGGTTTTTTCGAGACATGGAAGGAGATGTATTACATTGTAGGAGGACTCATTTTTGTTTTTACTGTTTTGAACAGTTAATTGTTATTTAATAAACTTTCCTTTCCCCCAATTTGATTAAAATTTGAGCTTAAATGAAATGTTTGCTTTGACTGATATTTTGGGAAAGAAAATTGCATAAATATAAATTAAAGCACAAAACACACACACTTCATATTAGTTATGTTTCAATCTACTATTTATTTATAGAATAACTTAATTATATAAAGCTGGTAGCTTCAGAATTTGCCAGGCTCTGTGCTGGTTGTAGAAAGTAAAACAGTGGATTAGATACATGCCACCTAGATTGACAGCTTGGAGTACTACAATTTCTTTAACTGTATAATTATTTGTGTTATGAGTATTTTGATTGTAAATACCAGAAATTTAAACTTTAAAAAAGTGACTATATTTAGGGGCAAATTTGGTTTCACATATGAAAGAACTCATGAGCAAAGTATTTCTTCAGAATATAGCTCCTTTTTTTTCCTAAATATTGGTTTCACTTACAGGAAGCTCCCTTTGTCTGGTGGTCATTGTCTGACTCAGATCTTGATCTTCTTAGCTCCTACCACACCAAAGAGACACACACCCATAGAAAAAGAACATTCTTCCAGCAATAGTCTTGGGATCAGCTCTGATTGGGCCAGGCTGAGTCACACCCTAATCTTAAAACTAAAACCAAATCATAGTGTGTTGCTGCAGTGAATGATTGACTTGTGGCACATGTCTAAACCTAGAGCAGGGGTAGGTAGGTCAGACCACCAAAATTACATACACTGGAAGTAGAAGAGGGTAATTTCCCAAGGAAAAATATGTGTATACAGGTATGTCTTAACAGCCATTTGACAACATTTAACTGCATATACATCTGTGGCCCTATGAGGTGATCTTTGTTTTGTTTTTATCTTCTTTTGTTTCTTATTCACCTCAAATGGTTTTAAAGATCCCAAAGATCTCTTGTAACACTGGACCACTGATGGGATACAGGAAGGTGAGGAGAGGACATGAGTCTGGGCATAGGTTCTTGAGCTTTGTTTCATGGTCAGGAGGAGGTGATGGGCCTGTGGGATCTGGGCTGCTCCTGCTGCGGAACTGAAGGAGCAGTGGCGGGGACTGTGTGCTCCACTCCCTAATCACTTGCTTCATCTCACTGGGCTCTCACCACAGTTTTCTTAGCTGTCACTGCTGCTGTCACTTGAGCTTTGCCAGCAGCATTAGTAGCAGTTATAGTGGCAATGGTGATGATAGTGGTGGTAGGAGCAGCAGAAGTGGAGACTGGTGAGAGAAGGCTCCTATTAAGTTTAATATGATGTTTGCACAATGCCCAAATCACATAATGCCTCTTTGCACAGAATGCAACATGAATGTCAAGCAATGCAGTCAGTGGGGCTATATACCGAACAGACATACAGGCAATTATACACAACTATTACTGAAGACTACTAAAATCTACAGTTCTATACTTTCACCCTGTGAAATTTTTCCCAATTTCTTCATATAACCCTTCATACTTTCCCACAATTTTGAGCCCATTCTCCTTTAATGGCTCTCCTATTTGTAATCAAAAGCTTTTGTTCCTGAGTATTTATATCTGCAAGGACTTTTGGGGTTGACTTAATCTAAACTCCTTTCTCTCCTGATGAAGAAATGAGACTCAGAGATTAGGTGATCTGTAAAATTTTCATCACAAATTAAATGATGTAATAAGCATCACTAGAGTTAACGTCTTCTAATCAGCCCAAAGTTTTGCTGCTACATTGGAGGCTTATGAGTTGATTTTTGAAAAAATATCTTATATGAAAGCTATTATGTAAAACTGATTTTAGTGTATAGCTGTTGGGTAAAATCTGATCTATATGCACTGACCATCTATACCATACACTTCTGGGCCTTGATGGTCTTAAAGTATTTTCATTGAATCCCATTTGAGAACCATTGTTTTGTGAGTTACGTCAACTGTTGCTACGTCTTTCACAGATGGTTGATTTTGGAGACAAAATTGCAAGGCAAGAGATTTAGAAATCAAACATGACTGTGCTTAATTTTAGCAGGGTGTATTCTTTTCCCACATACTTAACCTCTCAGTCTCTTCATTAATAAACTTTGAAAAGAATATCCAAGGTTGTATCATTTCCTGACTGGCACACCACTCACAATATATTCTATGTTGTTCACTAGGGGAGCTATTTACATGCAATAAAAACTCTGTGGGTTTGGACAAATTATCTTGTCTAAAATCTCGTAACTCAAGGAACTTTTCTGAGGATCAAACTATATGGTAAGGAAAATATTTGGCACTTAGTACAAACTGAATTTTCAAAGAATTCTTTTTTAAAGTTGGCAAAAGAATTGGTAAAATTGTTAGATGTTAACATGGCAAGCTGAGAAAGACAAAATGATTTTAATATGATCTGTGAAAAATCTCAGGAAGCTTATTTTTCACCATGTTCTAAATTTTTTTCTTAGGTGATCTGAATAATGGTTCAATTATATTTCTTTTAGAACATCTTATAGTTGATGAAAATACTTGCATTGTTAAAAGTTATTCTGCACAAATGCCTGTCATTCTGTACAAGTGATTAAATAAAGTCTCATTAATTTCTATGAAGTTTTAGGAAATGAAATGACAGAATATGGAAGACAAAACTTTAAAAACTAAACTATCTGAAATGCTTGTTTCAGCTGATTCCAGAAATTTCCTCCTTGACTTGGTTCACCACCATTGTGCCTTTGGTCTTGGTGATAACCATGACAGCTGTCAAAGATGCCACAGATGACTATGTGAGTATTTGCCTTTGAGCATTGCCAAAGTATCAGGCTTAATTGTGACTTATTAGTAATATAGAATGGGGATCTATTAGTATTTTTTTGAGTCAAGTTTTTTGGTCACTGTCTTAGAAGTCTTTTGCTTTTGTTAATTTGATGATTAAGTCAAGCATCATTAGAACCAGAGTATGTTTAAACTAGAGCCAAGAGATCTTTTAAAAAATTTTTTTATGTTATTAATAATTTTAATGAAAATTTACAGAGATTTTGGATTTCCATTCATTCATTGTTGCACTGTTCTCCCTGCACACCCCTCCCCTCCAGTTCATTCTTCTCTTTGAAAAGTAAAAGAAAAATCCTTTCATTGGTATACAATCCCTCCCCCCAAGTCCACTCCACTATGCAGCCTTTGTTCTGGACTCCTGTCATGACAATAATACCTAAGTATATATCCCAGTTCTCTCTCTCATCTGTTTCAATGCAGTATGCATAATTTATCCCATTTTTCTGTCTCCCCCCAACCCCAATGTCAGTCCCATTTTACAACAGAGCCAAGAGATCTTTAATAACAAGTCTCACTCCTTCATTTTACAAGTGAGAAAACAAAGGCCTCTAAAAAGCCAATGATTTTCCGTGATCATACAGTCAATTTTGAAATGAAGATCAAAATTGGAACACAAATCTGTTTTCATGCAGTGTATTCTTGTTTATTTTGTCTGAGTCTTTGTCCAAGTTTTCGGAATTATTAGCTATTAGGCATTCTCAAGGGAGATCTGGTGGCCTACCGGTGAGGAGTTGTGCTGCCAATTGTCCTAGACCTCCCCCAAGACTGTGGTATTAAATCCCTAAACGCAGTGACTCATTCTCTCCAGGTGTTTGGTTTGGGTTAAGAAATTTCTCTTAACTTTGGCCCTGTATATTCTATTATATAAATGGATATATTTGCAGCACATAGAAATGCATACATAGAATTAACCTTTGCTAAACTTATGTGTATTTATGAATGTGCCATTAGTCTTCCTATACCTGTTCAAGTTGCATATCTGTGTATGAACCATTTGTAGTTTATTGTTATTATAGAATATAAAATCAAAGCCTTTGTGTCTTCAGTCAATTAATGTAAAGAAATGAACTTTAAGAAAATGGAGATATTTGGACTGCATACACTAAAACGTAAATTTAAATATTTAAAACACAGTGTTGGGAACAAGAAGCATTCTGGATTTAGACTAGTTACATATTCCCTCTCTATCACTGTATGTGATTTAGCGTCAATAATTATGTATGTAACAATGACTTACATGTTTATATATAGAGAGCTCTGGCCCATATGGGAAATTTCCCTGGTAACTCAAAAAGGGAGTTAAAATCCACCAATCACTCTAAGGGAATAAGATGAGAAGTCTCCTCCCATGCAATTTATAGCTCCGGAGACCCAATGGTGAGTAAGCTGTGAGCTAATTCTGTATCAACAACAGTGAATTTTTAACCTATTTGTATTCCTGGCCCAGGCATTTCTTTTGATTTTTTTACTCATATATTTCCTACTGTCTATGGCACAGGAATGCTTCTAGAAATTCTATGAACTTAGAGAGATGACCATAGTCATAAGACAGGGTTTAGGTACTTTGTTCATACGGTCTCTACGAGTCGTGCTCAGCTTGACGGCGCTTAACAACATGATACAGGATAGGTCTGTTGTTCATAGGGTCACTATGAGTCATACTTGACTTGATGACATCTAACAACCCCAATTCTAAACTTAGGGAGCTCCAGTGGCCTAGTGGTGAGGAATTGCTCTGGTAACCTAAAGTTGGGTGGTTCAAATCCACAGTTGCTCCGCAAAAGAAAGATGAGCAGTCTCCTCTCATGTAATTAGCTGGCTCTAAAACCCCATTGAAGGGTCAGCTATGGGTCAGTTTCAACTTGATGATTGACAACAACCTTTTATTTAAAGTTTGTTTCTTGTAGAAAACATGTAGCTGGATTACGCTTTTAAAAAATCCAATATAGGATTCTTCTAAATTGACTTGTTTAAACCATGTACATTAGTTTGACTGTTATTGTAATTAGGGTTGAGGAAAGCCAGAGAAGGAGGGGAAGAATGATGTATACTGCATTGAAGCAGATGAGGGAGAGAATCATTGGGTATTATGTCATGACAGGAGTCCAGAATGAAGGCTGCACAGTGGAGTGGACTTGGAGGGGAGGGATTGCATAACAATGAAAGAGTTTTTATTTCACTTTTTAAGAAAAAGAGTGAATTGGGAGGGAGGGGGTGAGCAGGGAGAAAAGTGCAACAATGAAATGACTGGAAACTCTAAGTCTCTGTAAACTTTCATTAAAATTAATAAAAAACCAACCAACCAAACAAAAAGACCCCCCAAGGTACATGAATGAAAAAAATCTAGAGTGAATTAGGGGAGACAAAGGAGGGGTGAGGAAGGAAAAGGTGTATTTCTGAATTAATGAAAACCTAATCTTTCTATAAACAACTAAAATCACAATAAAAATGTTATTAAAATAAAATTTCAAAACAAAGAAGAATATTACTAAATTATTCTTAAGTTTAAGTTTTTTATTATCATTCTTTAAGTTTGAAATCTTTTTATTTTGTTTCTATATGCTTTGTTCTTTATTCCATTTTTTTCTGCCTCTTTTCAGATTGAGCAATTTAAAAATTCTATTTGTTATTTTTTGGTTTTATAAGTCTACTTTTCTACGTGTGTTTTGTTTCACTAAACTTTATAATATGGACCTAGAGTTTATCATAATCTACTTGGGGTAAACTTGGCTTTAATAATCATGTCACTTTATTCTAAGCTATATGAGGAATGCCAAAATGAATAGTTGTTGTTGATTGCCATCAAGTCAAGCATGACTCACAGCAACCCTATGAACAAAAAACCTGAAGCCTTTCTATAATATTGCCATTTCTCAAGGTTCTTAGAGTTTCCAGAGGCATATAAAAATGAATAGTAGACTCTAAAAATGGTACATTCTCAATTTAAAGTCAAATAGCAGGTTATTAAGTGCAAAAAATAGTATGTGGTAAAAATTATAGGGACAATAAGACATGAGCAAAGTGTACACTATTTGCAGGTGAGAAACACTCTTCAGTGCTTGCGTTGGTAGAGGAGAAAGATTTAGGGAAGTCTTCACGGGGAAAATAGGATATCAGACCTGCTGAGAGGGGTTGAGTATTGGAAATTGAGATAGTGATAATTGTACTAATCAAGTTGCTTTATATAATTATTCTTTTAGATGTTTCATGTCATCTTTTTTCTTTTAATAAATGAACATTATGAAGCACCTTATTTGCAACATTTTATTGTGTTATATGTAAGGTCACTGTGAGTTGGAGTTGACTTGATGGCAACTAACAACAACAATATATAACATTTGTCCTTTACTATAGATATTACTATTTTCATTTTTAATAAAATATTTCACTTATTTCAGGGTTAACATTGGTGAATGATACATTTTTGAGATTGGATTTTTAGCAAACATACAAGATCTTTTCCTTGTCCACACTGATGATTGATATTGCTTTAAGGCTGGATATTCCTGGAATCTGTAAATTCCTGTGAGGTTGCCATTGCTCCTCACAGATGTCCTGTTGGAACTCATTTTATAGAATTAGGAACTTAATGTCCAGTGATTAAAGTGCTCCACTGAAAAAGACTAGTGGTTCAAATTCACCAGCTGCTCTGTGGGAGAAATATGTAGCAGTCCACACCTATATATGTTTGCAGTCATTGAAACCATGTAGGGCAGTTCTACTTTGCCCTATAGTTTTACTATGAGTTGGAATAATATCATCAGCACCGATGTCTGAGTTTCCATAGAATTTCCCTCATGGTCAGTTTACAAGATACACAAAAAAGCCAATCTCATAGTTCATACTCATTCACACACTTTTTGAAAGGAACAAAAACCATTTCCTAGCTGAAATACAAAACTTATTCACCAGCCCTAGTTTCTAACAACAGTTTATGTATTTTCCACCATAAGATATCCTTTCATGCCTATTCAAAGGATAGCGTTCCAGCTTCAAGGGAGGAAGCACATTGCAAAAGAATGAACTGTGATCTCCAAAGGAGAGGAAATGTCAACGATTTGAGCAGTGCTGTGTTTGGAGTAACTCTGTGTCTTCTTCTTGTTACCTGATCATTCAGGAAGATAGTCCTTCTTTAGATGCTTTAGTTTCTTTCTTTGAAGATTATATTTATATAATAATACTTTATCAGGATTAAAATGCTAGTAAAAACCAGGGGCTTAGGAGAGAGATCATGTGTCCTACCACGTACTGGCAGTGCGGCATGAGGCAAGGTGAATTTTCTGAACCTTTCTTTATCCGATAATATTGACACTGTCATCGATGTAAGAGGATGATGTAAAGCTCCTGGCATGGAAACTGGCTCACAGTGAAGGCAAAATAAATGCCAGACCTGCTTCTTTCATTTCCTAGGCAATTCTCCTCTAAGACTTTAAACCTGTTTCTTGGGTAGAAATTGACTAGAAGGTCCAGTCTGCATCGCAGGTTATCCTTTCTAGTCTTTCAAGACTCCATCTGCTTCAAAACCAAGTCCTCTTGGCGAAGCCTGGGCAGAAGTGTGTGTGGCTTATTTTGAGATCCTGTAAATGACATGTTTAGTTTTTAAGTGATGAATTTTTACCTGTGCTTTTATGTGATATCATGCAGATCAATTTCTGGGACTATTTTTTTTCTGGGACTATTTTTAGATTATTGTTGTTGTTGTTGTTAAGTGCCACTGAGTCATAGACGACTCATAGGTACTCTATGAACAAAAGAGCTGAACACTTGTATAACTTTCAACATTTCTCCCCGTTCATAGAGTTTCCAGAGGCAAGCTATTTCGGAAGTGGATGCTTCTCCTGCTTCCAAGCTTGTTTTAATTCGGGAGCTCCATCAAACACTATCCACCATGGGTAACCATTATTGCATTTGTCACATCAGTGTCACAGTGTTTAGCATCACAGCAACCACAAGTTACTGCCGTACAGCAAATGGACAGACTAGTGCTATACTACTTAGAAGAATATTTGACCAAAACCAATTAAACCGGGTCTGAGGGCCGCAGATTAAAATCACTCACCTTTGGCTTGGTAGCATCACTTTCTAGCCACGAGGCCAACAGAGCTTCCAACCTGAATACAGATATAAGTAAACATATACTACATCTCCTTTTATTTTGCTGTTCTGTGTTAATGTTTGGATGTGCTTTTATTTTAGTGATAAATGTCCATTGAAGATATCCGCCACTTCAACAGGCAGAATCCTAGCGAAGAACATGTCCTTTGGAAATAGGGGAAGACTGTAGAAAGCTTAATAATAAAGGGCCATTTGCCAAGGGTGTGGGCAAAGAAACATGGTGATGTGTCTGGGATAGAAACAAGAATACTGCTTTTAGGCTGAAGGAGAAAGGGAGGGGAAAGCGATTATCAGAATAGAGCTCTTGTTGAGGTCTGCTAGATACCAGCTGGAGCTTTCTGTAGAGGAAGCAGCCACTACCCACCCAGCGAGAAGGCAGGCCGGCAGTAAAAATGCAGTAGAAATGCCACTTCACTTTTTCTGGCCTTCTTTTTTTTATTTTTTTAGCATTATTATCTAGAAGTTCTGATAAAGTCCAGCCAGAAACCAGGGAGGGTAGAGACCACACAGGCCATCTTCCCAGGACACAGAATAGAGCGGGAAACTGTGCAATAGGGATATGGAAGAACAAGGAGAGAATTCCCACCAAAGCATGCACTCAGATAAAATGATGTTTACATATTAAAGAAACAACTGATTTAATTTACTCCTCAACAAATATTATAGACTCTTTTAAAGATCTGCTGAAGAAAGATGAACAGTCTCATCCTGTGTGGTTTATTGCTTCTGAAAAACCACTGGAGGGTCAGTTCTGACTTAATGGTACATAACAATAACAACAACATTTTCATGTTAACAAATAGTAGCCAATGTTATGCTTTATTTTTCCTCCCTGATAATATCCATTAAGTTAGACTTAATGGTATTCTGTGTTGTTGTACCAGTTACTTCTACTTTAACTTATTATTATTGAATTTTGGCAGCTTATGGACAAAACCCTACTTGAATGCCTGCCAATTGAGAATAGTAAAGAACTCATCATATTTGGATTGTGCGAGTATAAGATGTTTACATTACTGGAAATATACAATAAGAAAGAAGATCGCTTAGGCGTGAAAACACAAATTCACACCAAATGTAGCTGAATATTATATTTTTATTTTTTTAAAAGTCTCAGTATTTCTTAATATCGCTGGTAGCAATTAAAACTTCTCAGAAATAAAATACATGTTGTTACGTGTAATTTCTTGACTTCAAAGAAATCCATAAAACAAAATGAACAATGTTCCAATAAATATTGAGTACATATGTGAGAGAAATGGATGTCCCTATCCGTGTTGAAGACAAAAATTAATGTGTGATTCTCTCAGGGACCATGTAGCAGAGTTAGGACCATATTGTCTTCTTAAAAATATGTGGGAATTGGATTGACACATTTAGATGAATCCCATTGGTGACACTCAAAATGAGTTTTAATGAGAATGATCTTGGTCAGGCTTAGAACACATGGAGGCGGATACAAGGTGTGTATAAACCAGGCTTATCTTAGTGATGGCAATAATTTCAGAAAGGATACAAGTATTTCTAGTGTCTCCATTAGTTATACAAAACTCCTGATTTTAATATATTTTCTTATAAACATTTTGATTTTCCAGTTTCGTCACAAGAGTGATAATCAAGTGAATAATCGGCAATCTGCAGTACTCATCGAGGGCAAGTAAGAAATACGTTCTTTATGTTATTCTTAAGGTTTCTGGGGCCAACAAATGGATCTTGGAATTTGGTGTCTTTCTTTTTTAAATAAACATGTTTCTTTTTCTCTCTAGTCTAGTAAATAGTAAAATGTAATTCTATTTTATCTTTATGACTTTTTTATGTTTGATCAATTCTTTTGCTATTCATTCAACTTCTCAAATTCCCTTGAGGTTTCATTTATGGAGCGTACATTAATCATTATTGCTTTCATTTCTAGATCGGATACTGTGCAGAATTGCAACACAGTGAGGTCTTCTATGTAGTAGATATTGAAAAAGAGTTTGATTGAGTTGCTTACTTTGGTAATTTCTAGGGCATATAGCAAGAAAGATTTATGATATCTTATTGTGAGATGTAATACAAATAGGAATTTTATAGTTTCTTGATAGCTGACATTTAAAGTAAATTGCCTTTCATAATAAACACATTTATTTTTGTCCTTTGTTAGTTCATCTATCAATAGAGAGCTATTTATAGGATTAGTTTTTGAATCTTAAAAGCATTTAGAAACACACACACACACACACACACACACACACATACATAAATAATAGGAAAAAATCCTGCAAATATGTAGTGGAAGAAAATGCCAAAGTTTCACTCAATTTTTTTTTATTATCTTTATCACTATCTCTTTCTTGTTAATAATGACATGTGGCAAAGTATATTTCTAAAGATACACAGCAGTCTGGTAGTCATTCACAATAGTCAATGATTTTCAATCATTTGATCTGCAAAGAATGTAATCAGCAGAAGAAGGCTGGGCAATCTTCTCCCATGTGACTTACTGCCTCTGAAAACCTGTTGGAGGGTCAGCTCTGAGTTGGATCCAATGCAATGACACAAAATAACAACATATATAATAACATAATATATAGCATGTATATTTATATTAGGGAGCTCTGATGGCTTAGTGGATTGTGGATAAGGAACTGGAATACTAACTTAAAGGCATGTGGTTTGCTTGCACCAGCTGCTCTACAGGAGAAAGATGGGAAATGTTCTTCTGTGTGATGTACAGCCTGTGATGAAAATCTGTTGAAGGGTCAGATACAAATTGGTTCTGACTTGATGGCACATAGCAACAGCAACAACAACAGCAACATATATGTAGTTTTTCATTATTATCTTGAAGGGTTGGTTGGCATTTTATAATGACCTTGAAAATGTGATTCTACTATTATATGGATAAATCATAAAAATTCCAGGACTTTACAATGACACATAGACCAATGAATTAGAATAAAAAAACCTAGAAATTAACTCATCTACCTATGGTCAAATGATACTTGACAAGGAAACAAAATGTATCAAATGGGGAAACAATACATTCTTCAACAAATGGTACTAGCAAAACTAGAGATATACCTGCAGAAAACGGAAACAGAATCCACCTCTCATACCATACACAAAAGTCACCTCAAAGTGGATCAGAGACCTAGGGATAACGCCCCAAACCATAAGGATCATGAGAGAAAAAATTGGATAAAAGTTAGAAGCCTTGTTGTCGTTATGTGCCATTGAGTCTCATGTGACTCATAGCAACCCTATGTACATTAGCTCTGAAACATGCCCTATCCTGAGCCAATCTCATCATCTCCAGCAGACCTAATCCCATTTCTCCAGTTATTGAGTCAATCCATCTCATCCTAAGTCTTCCTCTCCTGTGCTGTCCATCCACCCTTCCAAGCATGATGTCTTTTTCCAAGGACTGGTCCCTCCTGGCCACATGCCCAAAGTATGTGAGATGAAGCCTCAAAATCCTTTCTTTCAGGGAGCATCCTGGTTTCACCTGCTCCATGACTGACTCATTTGCTCTTTTGGCACTCTGTGGTTATGTTCAACCCTCTTCCCCCAGCATCACAATTCAAAGACATAAATCCTTCTACTATCATCCTTAGTTATTGTTCAGCTCTCTGAAGCATAGCAAGTAACTGTGAAGACTATGGCCTGAATCAGGCCCACTCTAGAGAGGTCCTTGACAGTAGACTTTCCCAATGCAATTTGTCTTTTGATTTCCTGACTTCTGGTGCCAAGATTGTTGGAGGTAAGCAAGCTGAAGATATCAACAATCTCAATCTCTTCCTATCCATCATGAAGCTGCCATTTGGCTCAGTGGTGAGAATCCTTGTTTTCTTGATATTCAACTTCAATCCATATTGAAGACTATAGAAGCCTTAGCCTATGGCATAAATAGGCTTACAAATACAGTCAGAAATGCACAACCTGGAGAGGATAAAATTGGTGAATGGGACCTTCTAAAAAGTCCCTGTGTGCATCACAAACTTTTTCTAATACAGTGAGAAGAAAAATCTACAGACTGGATAAAAAACATTTGGCAATGACATCTCGAACAAGGATCTCATCATGAAAGTTTACAGATAACTACAGGGCCTCCACAGTAAAAAGACAGCTAACCCAATAGCAAAATGTGAAAAAGCTAAGGAGAGAGTTTTAACAGAGAAAGATAGTTGGATGGCCAACAAACACATGAAAGAATGCTCAAAATCAGCATATCTGGAAATATATCAAAGAGATACAAATCAAAACAACCATAAGTTACCATCTCATCATGGTATCAATGACAAAGTTTAACAGGACAGCAAACAATAAATATTGGAGAAGATGTGGAGAGGTTGGAACTCTAATGCACTGCTTTTGGGATTGTAAAATGGTACAAACACTTTGGAAGGCAGTTTGGTGTTTCCTCAGAAAGCTGAACATCGAACTCTAATATGACCCAGCTATTGCACTGTTAGGAATATACTCCAGTGAGTAAAGAATTGAGACACAAAATGAAGATATGTACACCTTTGTTTGTAGCAGTGCCATTCACAAGAGCAAGAAAATGAAAACAGCCCAAATGTCCATCAACGAATGGATTGAAGAATTGTGGTACATTCACACAATGGAATACTATGCAGTACTAAGAAACAATGATTTAATAAAATGCAACAGTTGAGATTCTAGAGAGCATTATGCTAAGTGAATTTACTCAGTCTCCTAAGGATAAAAGCTGCATAAAACCATTATTATAAAAACCGGATAACTAGTAAGATGTGTATAAATATCCAAAAATGGAAGGAGATAGGGGGAAGAGGCAGAACATGGAGAACAGTGGAAATCAATAGGATAACAGAATTTACTGGCCTGATTGGAGATGTGTGTGAAAGAATAGGAATGGTTCAATGGGGACTAGAAAAGACAGGCATAGACCAATAGTAATTAATTTTATAAATACAATGTATATGAAGGTTTGTATAACCAAACCTACTTTTTTGGGAAGTTGTGTCCAGCTCACAAAGACCTCTCAAAAGGTTTTCAAGTCTGTAAATGAGTTGAAATTGACTCAATAAAATATAATAAAACCAGTGTGTGACACATGTATATATATATCCACACTTTCAGTGCCTGGAGCATTATTCATCTGTGTTCTCTTCTTTGTGTAACTTTTCATGATGTATGTTATAAGTCTAAGTCACAAAGTAGTTACTGAGAAAAAGATTCTTCCTTTATAGCCTTATTTTTAAATGTTACTGTTTTTTTTAAAAGAAAAGAATTTATTTGGTTTTTTACTCAGCATCATACCAGTCTGTTATAAAATGTGAAAATACTTAAGGTATATGTGTTCTGCTAGCCTTTGGTAAAATATTTGATAGATTTAGTTTTAAAATTAAGCACAGGTGGCATGATTCCAAATTCTAGAAGTTAATGGGATTGTTGTATGAGAAATGCACTTTCGCAGCCCCAGGGAAGGAATATTGTTTGCTGACTAAATCTGTGACTACTAAGATAAACCATAGTTTATTGTGATCCATACAGTCAAATGCCTTTGCATAGTCAATGAAACACAGATAGAAATTCCTCTAGTACTCTCTGCTGTCAGCCAAGACCCATCTAACATTAGCTATAATGTCCTTAGTACCATGGCCACTCCCAAACCCAGCCTGCACTTCTGGTAGTTTTCTGTTGATGTGCTGTTCCAGTAATGTTTGGATGATTTTCAGCAGAATCTTGCTTGCATGTAATATCATTGATATTTTTTTATAATTTCTGAATTCTTTCAGGACACCTTTCTTTGTAGTGGGAACAAATATAGATCTCTTCTTATCAGTTGGCCAGGTGGTTGTCTCCAAGACTTCTTGGAACAATTTGGTGAGCACATCCAGGGCAGCGTCCATCTGTTGTAATATGTCAATTAGTATGCCATCAATTCCTGGGGCCTTGTTTTTCGCTAGTTCTTTCAGAGCAGCTTGAACTTCTTCGTTCATCATGATAGGCTCTTGCCCATATGTTGCTTCATGAAATTCTTCTGTGTCTGCCAATTTCTTTTGGTACCATGAGTCTGTATATTCTTTCCATCTTCTTTTAATATTTCCCAGATCATTTAATATTCTTCCCAAGGCATCGTTAAGTATTGCAACTCTAGGCTTGAATTTGATCTTTAGTTCCGTCAGATTAATTAATGCTGAACGAGTTTGGCCCCTTTGACTTTCTGACTCCCAGCTCTTTGCATATTTCATTATACTTTATCTTTCCACATTGCCCTTTGAAATCTTCTATTCACCTCCTTAATTTATTGATTTATTCCTTTTGCTTTGACTTCTCAGTGCTCTAGTGCAATATTCAGAGTCTCTTCTGACATCCATCTTGGTCTTTTCTTCCTCCTCTGTCTTTGTAATGACCCCTGCATTCTTCCCGGATTATATTCTTGATACCCTCCTGCAGCTCATGTGGTCTTTATTCATTGGTGTTCAAGGACTCAAACCTGTTCCTGAGATGGTTTTGAGATTCAGGTGGGATAGAATCAAGGTCAAATTTTGGTTTCTGTGGATTTGATTTAATTTTCCTTAGCGTTAGCTTGAACTTACTGTGGTTGACTATAAGAAGAATGTGAATCCTAGAATACTTGATTATGCTTATGCAAAACCTATACTTGGACCAGGAGGCAATCGTCAGAAC